CAGGGACAGGAGGGAAGAGGGTCCTGCATGCCACATGATCTCTGGGACTTCACACAAATAAAAGGCAAGCTTATATTCCTGGGGCGAGATCCCAACTCTCTCTCATATAAATATGGCTTTCAAGCAGACTGAATTGTCCATGCATGGAGCTATTGGGTAAATGAAGGAAAGATTGATTTACCCATTGTTTTATCAGGAGTCATTCACCTTTTAGGAAAATTGCATCACCAAGGCGACGCTGCTCATGGCATTTGAGTTGCCAAAACAACACACCTGTGTCAGTCTGCTTTTGACGCTGTTGTGTTTGCAGCCATTCTATGTTTAGGAGCAAAATGTGACCATTCCAGTGCGATCGTCCCTGAGCGCTGTTATGTTGAATTACAGGTTTTTGAAATTACAAGTTACTTTTATGAGGTCCTCTTTATTTTATAGGTAATAGCATGATATTAGATTTTAAACATATGAAATGTGGTAGGTTATAGGATCCATGAATTAGCATCCAGTTAGTGAAGATATTTAAAAATATGTGTTAAGAAATGGGGCTGCTGGTTGGGGGTGGTGGTTCACTCCTGTAATCCCAGCACTTTTAGAGGCCAAGATGGACAAATCACCTGAGGTCAGGAGTTTGAGATCAGCCTGGCCAACATGGTGAAACCCTGTCTCTACTAAAAATACAAAATCAGCCTGGTAATATAAAATACAAAAATTATCCCAGATACTCAGGAGGCTGAGGCAGGAGAATAGCTGGAACCCAGGAGGTGGAGGTTGTCATGAGCCAAGATCGCGCCACCACACCCCAGCATGGGTGACAGAGCGAGACTCTGTTTCAAAAGAAAGAAAGAAACAAGCAAAGAAATAAATGGGCGTACTTTGAGTAGAGTCCAAGCCATTGAGCAAGGGGAACACGCACTATTTTTAAATATCACTCATCCTTAGAACTGCTCACCTAAGTGGCTTTCACAGAGCCTGTACTTGTTCTAAGTCACCTTCTCCAGACCTTGTCTCTCCTCTGAAGCAGGTTTTTTGACTGCTTTTAGGCAAACCACCTCATCATGGTCACAGTTGAGATGGGTGACTACTGGGAGGACTGCAAGGGGTGAGGGAAGTTGAGAGCTCAGGTGCAGCCTCTTTGAGTTGAAAAAATAGGTCTGCAGGGGCAGGACTCCATGTCAGGCCAGCTTATCCCTCCCTCATCCTTGGGGAAACAAAGGCAGGAGACTGCTTCCCTGAGACGGCGTTTGGAGAGGAGCCCCTTGGTGCTTGGCGACCACAAGGTCTCCCATGAAGTCCTCTCCATCACACCCAAGCCTAGAGTTCTGTACCAAGCCTCGTGTCCCAGGCTGTCGGCTGGGGGAGAGGACCAAATGAGATCCCTGGAGGGAAAGCACCCAGCTTTCAGTTCTGGAAGGGAGGGTGCACTGGGATCCTCTAGGGGACTTTACTACCACATCACATACAGAGATTCAGACTCCTGGGGTTCTCGGGGTGTGGCTGAAATAGAATCCCTGGGAATTCTGATACTCACCACATCCATGCCTACCCCATGCCCAGCTGAGAACTGCGATCAAGTGCATGGGACATTAGATATGGCTGGGATTCAGCTGACCATGGGGAGGCTATTCTGCATATATAAGGTAAGACAGAGCTCCCATACAAGGTAAGAGAGAGATCCCATTCCACATTGGTCCACATTGGTGCTGCTCTTCTCAGGAGAGGGAGCACTGAGGGACAGCAAGGGTGCTGGAGGATTGGGAGGCAGAGTAGTGCCTGGGGCAGCCTTTCAGGAGGGACACTTCCCAAAGCCTCCTGGCAAACAAGGCCAATGCCTTCCATTCTGGATTCTACAGGTGCCTTAGGATTTAACTCCATGGCAGGGGCTGGACTGCTGGGAGACACAGCAAGGCCTCAAGATGCCACCTCCACTCAATGTGCTGCTGGGGGGACCCCGGGCAGTGGCATCTCCCTGAGGCCCAGGTTCCAGCCTGGGAAGACTCTTGAGCTAGTTATAAGTGAACCAGGCTTCAAACCTTCCCCAGCCAGCAGAATCCCGAAGACTGATCCTGGCTACCCACTCTGGAAATGGACATCAAGTGCCACAGAGTTCCTCACATATGCATCTACCCCATGTCCTTTGTATTGGGACCAAGACTCCTGGTCTTCCTCCTGGGGATAAGGACCAAAGCTGCAGGGAGGACTCCAGGCTGTCCCCAGGGAATGTACAGAGGAAAAAAAGGAGTAGGTTGGAGGGAAAGGGCAGAAAGGGAGGCCAGTGACCCTTGTTTCCCTTCTGCCCAGGGACTTGTGATGGAGCCCCTGTCTTACTCCTTGGAGAGCTCTGGGGTCTCACTGGAATTGGCCCCACTTTTGTCCAGGTGGGAAAAGTTCGGAAAACTCTGAGATGCACTGGGAGGCTAAGGTGGGTTGCCACAGACTAAGGGGCCGCCAGAGGGGATTTGGGGAGGAAGACTGCATCCCATGCAGCTCCTCAAACACACCAAGCACACTCCTACCTCAGGGACCTTTGCACAGGCTATTCTCTCTACCTGGAATGCTCATCCCTTCTCTCACCCTCTAGAAAGCTGCCAGACTCCCTCTCTCCCTTCTTCATGTAATTAATTAATTAATTATAAGATGGAATCATGCTCTGTGGCTCAGGCTGGAGTGCAGTGGTGCGATCTCAGCTCACTGCGACCCCCTTCTCCCAGGTTCAAGAGATTCTCCTGCCTCAGCCTCCCTAGTAGTTGGGATTAAAGGCACCTACCACCATGTCTGGCTAATTTTTGTATTTTTAGTAGAGATGGGGTTTCACCATCTTGGCCAGGTTGGTCTCGAACTCCTGACCTCAGGTGATCTGCTCGCCTCAGCCTCCCAAAGTGCTGGAATTATAGGCGTGAGCCACCTCATCCAGCTGTCCTCCAGGTATTTAAATGTTGCCTTCCTAGTGAGAACTGCCTTAGCCTCCCTATTTAAAAGTCCCCATTCTCAATATTTCTGATCCCTTCCCTGCTTTCTTTCTTTTTCTTCTCTTTTCTTGTTTTTGTTTTGAGATGGAGTCTCACTTTGTTGCCCAGGCTGGAGTTCAGTGGCACAATCTCGGCTCACTGAAACCTCCACCTCCTGGGTCCAAGTGCTTCTCCTGCCTCAGCCTCCTGAGTAGCTGGGACTACAGGCATGTGCCATCATACCTGGCTAATCCCTTTCCTGCTTTCTTTATCTTCTTTACATGTATCCCTAACAGACAGTCGTGCATCGCTTAACGATGGGGACACATTCTGAGAAATGCATCATTAGGCAATTGAGTCATTGTGGGAATATCATAGAGCGCACTTACGCAAACCTGGATGAGAATGCCTACTCCACACCTAGGCTAAACACAGTTGTAAGCATTTGTGTATCTAAACATATCTAAACATGGAAAAGGTACAGTAACAATATAGTTTTATAATCTAATGGCACATATATGGCCCTTTGATGACAAGACGTTGTTATGCATCTGTAGCGCATGACCTTACTACATATTTTATATATTTATCTTGTTTATTGCCAGTCCTCCCCACTGTACTGTAAGCTCCCTGATGGCAGGTAGTTTGTTGATTTTATTCATTGCTGTACCCTAGAGCGTAGGACAGTGCCTGACACACAGGAGATCCTCAGTGAACATTGGTTAAATGAGTGAATGCAGGGACCTGGGGAGCTACCTTAATCCAGGCCCCTAGGATGTGAGGGGTGGAAGGTTCCTGAAGGTCTCTAACTGCTCTGAGGACACTTTGAGGTTCTTGGGGAGAGGGCTGGGAAATCTTGGCCTGGATTTTTTGGTGGTCCCAGACTGAGCCTCCCCCTGGGTATGCCTGGACCCACCCTGGCAGCAGCGGGGGCTGCAGCATCAATGCCAGACCTAAGATGTGAATGGAAGGGGGACGAATAAACTCCTCTCAGTGTTTAATCTCCTCACCCATTATTCTGTGACCACCTGGCCCAGCTGCTGATTTCTCCCCAGAGAAGGAGCTAGCATCACCACTCTGATGCCAGCTCTCTTCCCGAAGAGAATCGAAAACATTAATCTGGTAAACATAGAGGTCTAGTCTCCAGTTCTTTCAGTTCTAGTCCCAGCTCCCACATAATCCCAGCAAGACTGCAGTTTTTGGGAACTGGGGCCACTTCTAGACTTGGATTTCCTTCTCCTCCTCAGGAATTTTCTGCATCCTGGACTGGCTGCAATGAGGAGAAAGCTGGATTAGGCTAAGGGCTGCCCCGGGCTCAGCTCTTCCCTCCTGCCTTCCAAGGGCTTTCACAGAGCCACACACGCCAGGGTGCCATGCACACATGCTTCCCACTTGCTAGACAGCCTCAGGAGGGCAACCTCCACTCTGAGCTCTGGTCTTCTCACTTGTGAAACATAGACTGCAAAAATGCAATTAGGGTTCCCGGAGGATTAGAGGGGATAAAGATGAGAAGACCACACTGTTTGCCACCATGATGATTAATTCCTTCTGGGTTTTGTGACAAGAGAAGCATCCTAGAAGCTATGCCCACTGGCCCCATGCAAATGTAATTTAATTAATTACTTAATTTTTTTGAGATGGAGTCTCACCCTGTCACCAGGCTGGAGTGCAGTGGCACAATCTTGGCTCACTGCAATATCCACCTCTCTGGTTCAAGCAATTCTCCTGCCTCAGCCTCCAGAATAGCTGGAATTACAGGCGCCTGCCACCATGCCCAGCTAATTTTTGTATTTTTAGTACAGACAGGTTTCACCATGTTGGCCAGGATGGTCTCGATCTCCTGACCTTATGATCTGCCCACCTCAGCCTCCCAAAATGCTGGGATTATAGGCGTGAGCCACTGTGCCCAGCCGCAAATGTAATTATAAGCAAAGATCAAGGTGGGGTCAAGTGGGTATGCAAATACAGGTGTCTGAGGCAGCCCCGGTTGGCTTCTGGGCTATGAGGCTGAGTCTCAGTGGACGCACATGCACACACACACCCCGCTGTGGAGCTTACCTGTCCACCTGGATTCCCATATCTTTCATCTCTGCCTTGGCAGGTGCCCCTCCCTTGACCCCTCTGCTTCCACTGGTGAGAAGGCTCAGCACAGGCTCTATCTCCTTGAGCAGTTCATTGTTCTCCCCTCTGCCTTGGAGACCAACCCTGGCTGCTTTCTTCACGGGGTCCTGGCCTGGGGGCCTGGGGGCCAGGCCGTTGGCATGAGGGAGCGAGCTGGCCTCCTGCCCATCATCTTGGGCATGCTGAGGCCCATTCCCGGGACCCGAGGCTCCGTCTACTGCTAGGGGCTGTTCTTTGCCGGCTGCTGGCTGGTGGGACAGATCCACAACTTTGGTGGGGGGACCCAGGGGTTGGGTCACCCGTATGGTCTTGGGGGTCCCATCACCCGTAAAGGTGGTCTCCAGGTGTGTGGTGAAGCCTTCAGGGCCCCTCAGAATGAGGACCACGTGGGTCTCGGAAGCAATGCCTCTGAGTACCTCCAGGGCGCTGTCGTAGCTCAGGTCCACCAAGGGCCGGCCATTGACTGCGAGAATGATGTCTCCAGCCTGGATAAGGCCACTCTGCTCTGCGGCACCCCCTCGAATCAGGTCAGAGATGATCACGGGCGGCTTACTGACCCGCTCCTTCACCAGGAATCCCAGGCCCCCAACTTTGCGTTTGAAGAGACGAACAGAAATGACATTCGGCTGGATTTGCTGAACACCGAACATGTGATCCTCCATGGTCACCGGCTTCCAAGGGCCCTGTCTGAAGACCTCACGATGCTATCAGGCCAAGACGATTTCACCAGGAGGAGCCAGGCTTCAGGCTACACTGCGAGCAGGAGCTGGGGTGACAGGTGCTGACAAGGCTCCAGCCCTCTCTGTCTTTGACGTCAACTCAGCGTCACCCACTCATTGCTGGTGGCCCGTCGGTGGCATGATTTCCTGCGTCTGCCTCTCTCCTTATTCTCTAAGGAAGCGATGGTTGACCAGGCAGACGTCAGGAGAGGCCGTGGGATGTGTCCCTAAACCACAGGTCAGGCAGAGTGGGGAGGAGATGTGTCTGGTGGCTGTGTCTAGAAGTGACGCATGATAGATGTGAACTATTCTCTGGATGTCTTCATTGCCAGCCTGTTAGATGTGGATCAGATCTGAGGCATCATGAGCTGGAGAGGAGGAACAGGAAGGGGATAAAAAGAAGAAGGAAAAAAAAAGAGATTGAAGTAGAGTGCCCAACACTACCCTCAAAACTAAGATAGAAAATGCAGCTAATTGACAAAGTCTAGCCACAAGACACTTAAGAATTTCAAGCCAACCTAGAAACAAAATCCTTCTTCCTGGAGGGGACATCTTTCCCAGTTAGCTAAAAATTACCTAGTTGTATTTCCATGATCAAAGCCCTTTGGGACCAAAGGGTCTCCCTGGGCAAACCATGGAGAGTCAGCCCCAGAAATCAAATAAGAATAAGAAGACGTCTCTTATCTCTTTCCCACCATGAGAAGTCATCAGACCAACCTGCCAAGCAGCCTAGTTGCTCTCCGTGTCTGGTATTCATTTTCCATCCATAGCTCAGGAGCTCAGCTGGCACAGATCTTTGGGTTTTCTGTTCCAGCCACCCCCCAAAGCCCAGTGGAATGGGAATGACACTGCCTTCCATGGACCCAATGATGAGGAATGTTAATAGGCCTTTATAACCATTTTTGTCGTGATTAGCTTGCTCCATGCTCAGAAGGACAGGCTTAGTCACACTATAAAGATAAATACCAAGAAGATGAGTCCACACGAAATTGTGGAAGACACTTGGGCTCCACAGGCAGCTGAAAACCTGATGGCGAAACCTTAGGAAGAGTGGACTTTATCCCCCTAAAGGTAGCACAGGAACATTGGAGCTGCTCAATGAATATTTGTTGACTGAAGAAGAAAAAAACTCCAAAGACAAAACATGGCAGACACTTTTTGAGCACGTTCCCTCTTAACCCATATTTTAAATTTCTCCTTTGATCCTCGCAATAACCCCTCAATAGAAGAGGAAAGGGAAGCTTGGGAAGATTCTAAGTTGTCCAAGGTCACATAGAGAATGATGGCAGGGGAGGATTTGACCTTGAGCCTGAGCTTTTAAACTTATACTCTAGCTCTTTCAAATATATATTCTGGGACAGGTGTGGTGGCTCATGCCTGTAATTCCACCACTTTGGGAGGCTGAGGTGGGAGGATTGCTTGAGCCCAGGAGTTTGAGACCAGCCTGGGCAACATAGTAAGACCTTGTCTCTATTTATTTATAAAAGAAAAATCAGACTGGGTGTGGTGGCTCATGCTGTAATCCTAGCACTTTTGGAGGCCAAGGCAGGCGGATGGATCACTTGAGGTCAGGAGTTCAAGACCAGCCTGGTCAACATGGTAAAACCCCATCTCTATTAAAAATACAAAAATTAGCCAGGTGTGGTGGTTGCCTGTAATCCCAGGTACTCGATAGGCTGAGGCACGAGAATCACTTGAACCCAGGAGGCAGAGGTTGCAGAGTGAGCTGAGATCATACCATTGCACTCCAACCTGGGCAACAGAATAAGAATCTGTCTCCAAACAAACAAACAAACAAACAAAATGAATCAAATTTCTATTCTAGTTATTTTCAAAATGCTGACATCTTCTAAGTCACTGACTCCCTCAGGCTCAAAGAAATGGGGTCTGGCTGAGGTACCAGAGGCCAAGAGGGGCCCCAGCTGGGGATGCTGTGGCCCAGGTGAGGAGCGAGGATCTGTGGCATGTGCCCACAGGGTCATGTACATGCACAGTGGGGCATATCTGGGGTGGGGCAGGTGATCTGTGGGTGTGGGTAGGGTGGGAAGTAGCCCCCCATCCCTACCCGTAATTATTAGTTTGTTCCAAGTTCAAAAAGATAGGTTTGGTCACACTACAAACATCAATACCAGCAAGATGGGTAAGGGGACATCAAAGAACCCCTCTATCTCTTTCCCTACCCCCAGCTCAAGCGCAACTTCCATCTCTGTCCCAAAGCCCCTTCCTGCCAGCATCCTCACCACACTTCAGCACCAGGAGGGAGCCCCCATCCGCCATGACTAACAAAGTGACACTCACTTCCTCGTTTCCCTTTTAGCGACTTTCCAGGGTCACCCCAGGGCCGAGGCAGCTGACAAGCTCCTGCTGCCTCTGAGAGCAGGAGGTGGGTGCAGAGACCCCTCCCAGAAGGAGGTGCCACCTCTTGGATCCCCTCAATGGCGGGGGGTAATTAGCAAGTTCAGCCTCCCCTTCGCAGTCTACCTTATGTAACTCTGCCAGCCCCTCTGTGTGGGTGAGGGAACTATGAATCCCCGGGCCTCGCCTGGGATGTGTTCTTCATCTGGTGTGGCTCTGTGTATGTGTCTCCCTCTGTGTATTCATGCATCGCCTGAGTGCTGTGTCACTTCTCTGCTGTGTGTGGCCCAGGTGTGACTGGCTGAGTGTCTTTTGGCATCTTGCTGCTGGGGTTCTGGTTTGCAGGGAAACCCATCCAGGACTGCTGTGCCCTTCCTCACTGGGAAGAGTTGCTCTCCTCTCCCCTTGCTTCCTTAACCCTCCCGAGCCCCACATCCTCCAGGTACCCAACCCCGGATGCTCATTGTTCAGTTGGCAGCAGAGAAAACCGGGACCTCCAGAGCTTTCTTGAGCATCCCGTTTGGCATTAGGGCTCCGTTCTTTAACGAAAGGAGCAACCAGAAGACCACCTTTTAGGGAGGCAAGGTCCCTAAGCTCACTCCTCCAGACTCTGGCTTGGGCCAGACCTCAGTAAAGGACGGAGACGGAAATTAGTCTTTGGTATACTTTGCTTAAGGAGAAAAGAACAGAAATGAAGCAATTTGCAAAGGCCCTTGGCTATTCTCAGCACGTTCCCCTCTCTTTCTCTGCTGCTTCGCAGAATCAGGGAGGGCTCTGGGCTGGTGCTTGAGAATTGGTGTGCTATTTCTCTCTCACACCTTGGTGGTAGAAAGGAAAACTTGATCTTTGGAAGGAGGTGGAAAGAAGCTGGGCTGGGGAGAGGCAGGTGTATTTTTTGTCTGCTGAGGGACAAAGACAAACAGAGAGGAAGGGAGATAGCAAGCTCTGGGTCTGAGCTCTCGGTTCTGAGGATTCTTCATTGTCAATCATTATCTTCTTTATTTTTTTGAGACACAGTCTCACTGTCACCCAGTCTGGAGTGCAATGGTGCAATCTCAGCTCACTGTAATCTCTGCCTCCCAGATTCAAGCGATTCTCTAGCCTCAGCCTCCCAAGTAGCTGGGATTACAGGTGCCCACCACCATACCTGTCTAATTTTGTATTTTTAGTAGAGATGGGGTTTGTCATGTTGGCCAGGCTGGTCTCGAACTCCTGACCTCAAATGATCCACTTGCTTCAGCCTCCCAAAGTGCTGGGACTACAGGCATGAACCATCACATCTGGCCATCAATCATTATCTTAATAACAATTCCACAACACTTTCTCTGCCTCCTTTTCCTCCCACAAAACGTCCTCATCTACTATCACATTTTTCATCCTTGTCCTGACAAACTTCAGGTTTGGTTGTCCCCCAATTTTATAGATGAAGAAATTAAGTTGCTATAAGGACACCCGCTTGTCCTGGTTTTTGAATGTTTAGTTTCCATGAGGCTCCATAGGGACAGCCGGCCACCTGCTGCCCCAGGGAAGAGTTTTAAGGTCCTTCCTGGCTCTATCCCAGTACTTCTGGGTGAGTTCTTTATTTTCTCTGAACCTCAGTTCCCTGATCTGTAAAATGGGGTCATTTGTAATCACCACGTGTCTGAGAAATGGACAGGGTTAAATGAACAGTCAATGCAGGGAACTTGGCAACGTCACAGAGTGGTGAGTGCTCAGAAAAATGGCTTCCTATTATTGTTATGTAATATATAACGATTCGGACTTCCTGGCTTTTAATTCAGTGCACTTCTACTCTATCACTGTCCAGCCGAAGGTACTTCAGGCGCCATCTAGAAGGGGGCCCTTCCCTTGAAATCATACCAAGGCATCTCATGCCGGTCTGGGTGGGGGACACCATCTACGGAGAGACGGCTGCTGGATAGAATCATCTGACAACCCTGCCTCCACCCTCGGGAGCTGGGATTTGAAACAAATCACATATGCGCGTTTGCCAGGGTCTATACCATGGAAACAATACTTGGATCAAAGCCTCATTCGAGTAGCTCAGTGGCTTTGGGTGTGTTTATTTCATTTACCTTGCTGCGAGGAAATTAGTAGCTGACTACTGGGGATGCCTGCCAGTGAGAGGGAGGAAGCCCAGATAGGCCAGCGTCTACTACTCCCTCCTCTCTGTGCGACCTTGGGCAAGCCCCTCTCCACCCTGAACCTCATTTCTGCAACTGAAGGAAAAGTACAACAGCAGCCTCCAGTGGTTGAGAGCTTATTGCGTGCTAAGCATTGGGGGTTTTATTTAATTGTAATAGACACCATAGGAAGTATTTTTTGTTTTTGTTTTTGAGAGACAGGGTCTTACTATGTTGCCCAGGCTGATCTCAAACTCTGTGCCTCAAGTGATCCTCCTTAGTCTCCCGAGTAGCTAAGACTACAGGTGCATGCCACCACACCCAGCTAGTTGTTTTTATATTTGTAGAGACAGGGTCTCACTATGTTCTTGAACTTCTGGGCTCAAGTCATCCTCCTGCCTGGGCCTCCTGAGTTGCTGTGTCTACAGGCATGAGCCTTCGTGCTGGGCCTTGTAAGTGCCATTTTTATTTGCCCCTTATGGATGGATGAGGCAGATGAGGTTCAGGGATGTAAATCAAGGAGGTAGTTCTGGGTCTAAGCGAGTGGGTTCTAAGTGCTCTCTGTGGTCAGTCACAGTCCTGAAAACAATCTCACAACACTATGCCTCCCTCCTTTTCCTCCACAAAGCACATCCTCAGCTGTGGATCTGGGTCATATTCGACTGCCCCCATTTTATAGATGAAAAAACAAAGCTCCTAAGGGACGCCTGCTGGCCGTGGTTTGCCCGTGCTCTCCATTTTTAGCATTGAAGGATGACAAATATTTGAATGAAGAGGAGCCACTAAGCCTATCTAGTCTAGCTTCCTTATTCAGAAATGAGAAAACACAGCCAGGCGCGGTGGCTCATGCCTATAATCCTAGCACTTTGGAAGGCCGAGACGAATGGATC